GCAAGGGGTACTGAAGTGGGGGTTTTAGGGCTTTAGTTAGGGGGTAAGATTTGTGAATTTTACGACTGAACACCGTAGATGTCATTCGTGTAATAATGTGTTAGTGTAACTTTCAAATTCATATATGTATGTGTGTGTGTGTGTGTGTGTGTGTGTGTGTGTGTAATGTTTTGGACAGAAAAAATTAGCTCAGTTTGTAGGCGAGGCCCGACCCTATTCATTATATTAAATTATGATATACGGTGTATTTCATTTTATACTACTTATTTTTTCTTTTTAATTTTTTCTTTTGCGTGTTTGAATATTAGTTTGATATAAAATTTGTTCATTTCTGTTGGCTGAGAGGTCCGGATCCGGAGAAGTCTGACTTCCGCATTTTGAGAGGTCCGGATCTGGAGAGGTCTGGATATGGAGAAGTTCGAATTCCGAAAGGTCCATATCTCGAGAGGACCGAATCCTGAAGATGACCGAATCCCATTCAAAGTAGGATTTTTCTTGAGTTATTTGTTTCCTAGTTTGATTATTGATTTGTATCCTTGTAGAATTTGTATTCCTTGTCTATTTTAGAATTATCCTCTCCTATAAATAAAGGAGAAACCCCTTGTAATTAACAAGCTAAACTGAATATACAAATTATTTTTCTCCCTTATTAATTTCTACATGGTATTAGAGCAAGGTTCATAGGAAAAAACCTTAACCTAGACGATCGCCGGCCGCCGTCATGGCAAAAGCTGACGAAAATATCATCGGAAAGATCTTCAATGAAGAGGAGAAGATCCCTACGAAGGGAAGTTCTTACGAACTCAAGAACGCATACACACCCGGTTTAATTATCACCAGAGTCAAATTAAACGGTTATAATTATGAAGAATGGGCTCATGCAATGAGAATTGCATTCCGTGCAAAACGGAAAATTGGATTCATTGATGGATCCATCCCTTGTCCAGAAGAGGGAGATGAAGATTATGAAGAATGGTGGATTGTAAATGCCATGTAGGTTTCATGGATTTACAATACCACTATGGAAGGACATCCAAGATCGTTTCTCTGTTGCAAACGGTCCTCGAATTCATCAACTGAAGAAGGAACTTGCAAACTGCAAACAAAACGGTCAGTCCATTGTTACATACTTTGGAAAATTAAAAACAATTTGGGACAAACTTGGTGATCACGAAAAGATTCCCACTTGCATGTGTCGAGGATGCAAGTGTGGGATAAGCAAAGCTCTTGCCGTCCAAAGGGACAAAGAAAAGGTTCACCAATTTCTGATGGGATTGGATAACGAAGGATATGGGAGTCTACGATCCAACATCATCGCCACAGAGCCCTTGCTGCCACTGAATCGTGTTTACTCAATCATCATCCAGCAGGAAGGGGTCTTGAAGACTACCCAAAAAGAGGAACGTAACTCGGTAGGCTTTGCTGTCACTTCTAAAATTGAGCATGATGCAATTAAAGATTTAAAATGCAAACATTGTGGGATGAGCGGACACGAGAAGAGTGGTTGCTTTCAACTCGTTGGATATCCTATATGGTGGGGAGATCGCCCACGCATCTTGAACCCGGGAAGAGGCAATGGACGTGGCAACGGCACAGGGGGACGACGCGACGGCAGGGGGGCAACGCCGGTCGAGGTAACCAAGGCGGGGCTGATGGCGGTTCAGCAGGCGGACCAGTGGCCCACACGGCTCAGGCCAACACGACGGGTGGAGGGCGTGCGAATATCTCTTCTCTCACAACCAATCAATGGAATACACTTATGGGACTTTTAAATGAGAAGGATTCGGGTATGGAAAATAAATTTTTAGGTATGACTAATACTTCTTGGATCATTGATAGTGGAGCCAGCCAACATTTGACCAGCGATGAGAAGTGTTTTAAAAACTTGGAAGTGATGAAACCTTGTTCTGTTGGTCTACCAAATGGAGATTGTGTGGTATCCAACAAAAAAGGGAGTGTGATCTTGAATAATTTGATAACCTTAGAAAATGTTTTGCTAGTTCCTTAACTTAATTGTAATCTTATATCTGTCTCACAACTTCTTGAGAAAAACAATTTAATTGTCAAGTTTAATAATAAAATTTGTATCATATAGGACTGTATCTCGAAGATGGTGATTGGAGTTGGTGAGCAGGCAGAAGGACTATATTGTCTCAAGAAAAGTGTGAAGGACAAAGTCTGCACAGTGAAGGAGGGAAAAGATCTGGACATTTGGCACAAGCGTTTGGTTCATCCCTCTTACACCATTGTCAACACTTTTCTTCAATTATCCAAAAATACCAATATTCCTAATTCCCCTTGTGATGTGTGTTTTCGTTCAAAACAATGTCGTGACTCTTTCCCAATTAGTTTAAATAAAAATCTTACTCCTTTTTCCTTGATTCATTGTGATTTATGGAGTGGGTATCGTACTCTGTCTCGCACTGGGCTAGATACTTTTTAACTATTGTTGATGATTTTTCTCGGGCAACATGGGTACATCTCTTGAATCACAAATATGAAGCTCCCACTATCTTGCGTAAATTCTTTCCCATGATTGAACGTCAATTTAACAAACAAGTGAAAGCTATACGAAGTGACAATGGTACAGAGTTCACTTGTTTAAAATCCTATTTTGACAATCAT